CTGTGTGGAGCAAGGGGGAGGATCCTCTTCAGTCATTTCAAACTGGACTCTCATGTTACTGTCCAGCCTCCCTTTCTACCTCACGCAGCACGCCTATAACGCTGAATAACAGGAGTGGCCTGTAAAACAGGTAGGGAGGGATTGTCAGAAGATAAGATGTGTCACACCCTGCACGTGGACAGGCTAAAGGGGAAGAGAGCGAGAGGTAAAGAAGCGGAGTGAAAGTATGAGTATGAGGAAAAAAAGATACCTTTTCAAGAGTATAACACCAGTAGCCTGCTTACTGGTCACAGTGCAGTGAAATTAATATTGGAGGCTAGTAGGGAAGGGTTGGATGAGTAAAGGACAAAAAGGTAAAAATGTATTAAAAACAAGAAAATGTTACAACATAAGCCAGCATTAGTACCAGTACATCAGTATTAGAAAGGTGCACTCAATAGAGTGCCGATCTCCTCCAAGTTTCTGCAATCAATACTGCTGAATTTTGTGATTAAATAAATACAACCCACAATTGGTTAACCCTTCTTTTTGAGTCTTTGTTTGAGAGGAATCTCAACATTCTTGATCATTAGGAAAGGAGTCGTCATTGTCTGCATGCCGCTTCTGTCACTGTTGCTCTGACCCAAGCACTTCTTCCGATGTTGTAGTTGTGCCGATGCTTGCACATGGCTCAGCCTCCCTATGATCAACCTCCACAGTTGTGAGGAGCACTGGTGGTGGTGGCGGTGGTGGCTGATAGAATGATGAGTTGATGAAGCAGACGATGCTGATGAATCTGCAAAGACTGGGCGGCGATGGGGTGGTGGGGAGGGGCTCGTAACAGCAGCCAGCATGAACATACTGAAGGTAGATAGACAATCATATTTAAAAGAGACAGCAGCAGGATGACAGGCTAACGATTGAATTGTTTGGTTATGCTATTGGATAGAGGAGACCAGCTGATCAGAACAGCTGGTATCATGATTGACAGCCCCGAGCAATGACAGCACGGAAATTATGACTGAGCATGCATGAGGAGTGATTGGCAGATGCATGAGAAATAAACTACCAGCCTAAGCATGCAAAAGTATAGTTTTCCTAACTGAATTTACGCTATAACTTCATTAATCTCTCTCCGGGAGAAAGGATGCATCACCCATAATTGCTCTAATGGTGATGAAACTGGTATTGTGGAAACATGAATGGTTATGACTTCAGAATTTGGTATGTGTCTTGTAACAATATTATGACTCAACTTTAATTCCTCTGGGACCAAATTCAACAATTAAATAAATGATCACTGCCAGCACTCGTAGCCTTAGGTGAGGATGAAGAAAGGATTGTGTTTGTTAAACTGCCAATACAAACTTTGAGTGTGCAGGGCACATTTAATCATACACCACTGTGTGTGTCGAAAGCTATACAGATCAAAGAACAAAAGCATTCATGGTGCTATTGTTAGACACTTACCTGACTGAGAGTATAACTCTTATGTGTATTCCTGGCAAACAAACACAGGACTTTCACCAAGGAGACCACTCTTTGTGTTCCGTGTGAATCTGTAATATTTGGTCAAGTCAGTCATTAGTCACATGAGTCGTAGTCAAGTTAACGTCAATTACGCTGTTTTCCTAATACTAACTAAGTGGTTTTGTTGCCTAAACCTAACCTTTGAAGACATAAGTTCATTCCGAAAAGACAGTATGCGTGCAACATGCTTAAATTAAGAAGCCGTCCTTGACAAATCCAAAATTGAGGCTGGAGGGGTAGCCTGACAGTTCACAGCTTGGGGCCATCTATCTTTCCATGGCGGCTCTATGAGTTTACAGAGCTGCTTGCGCCTCTGCTGGCCCGTTTAATGGAATTATGAAAAGTTAATGCTTAATTCAGAGATGACGCTAATGCTGCATCTATAAAACAACAATAACTAACAAAGTTTATCACACCTACTCTCCTCTCCTTCCATCAGTTTCCTGTTGGTGGTGGTTTCGATGTCAGCCAGCTTGACATTCATCAGCTCCTGGTATTCATTGTACATGTCCTGCTTGGCTCTATGCTGGCCACTTTTTCCACAAATCATGATTTTCACACTAGAAATGACAGTATAGAGCTCTCGCCCAGCAGGTCAAAGTTGATTCACGGGTCCATTAACATCGTGGATCAAGATTCAATTACTGTCGAATCAACGTGTAAACCTGCACGTTGTGTCAACGTCTTACTTTTTATGAGTGAATTAACGTGTTGCGGCAATGTTGAATTAATGTTGAACTGATTCTGAAACCGAATCAACATTGAAATTGCAACTTTTTTTCAAAATCGTACTTTTCAACTATAGATTGAGTAACCTTTTCATTCTACGCTGTACACATTTGTGCATTCAATTATATTAGAACCAAGTTTGAAATTGCATCAATATCGATATTAATACTGACTGAATCAGTGATTTATATATTCCATGTTTTCAAAATGTTACACAAAAATTAATACCTATAAGTAACTCAGTGGTAAAGCTTGAATGTGATCAAATGAGACTCCCTGGGGAAAGATATTATGACACATTCATGAATAAATATAAGAAAAGCAGCTGTAAAAATGTATCTTCAAGAGAGAGATGTATAGAGAGAGAGAAAGAACGAGAGAGAGAGGGACCAGTAACAAATAGTTTGATGCAAAATTTAAGATTACTTAGGCACTTAAAATATAACTGTAATGACCGTGGGTCTTTAAGAGATCTGCACATGCATATCTGTTGGACAGCTATTCCAAACAGGAAGTGAGGAGTAGAAAAGTGGCACAGCACTGCCCTCATGTGAAATCTCAAAGTGGAAATTACAATAGACATGTCCATTGTAAGTCAAAACCTCCTGAGCTTTTTCTTTTTTTAACCACAACAATATTGAGAGTCTTAGTTGTCAGATTTACTTTTTTCTGATTCATTTGATGTAATTTGCTGCAACATTCATCAGTCATGTTGACAGGAAGGCTTTTACAAAATAAATCTGGTTTCTACATAGTTTTATCTTGAAGGAAGGGAAATGCAAAACTCAACATGGAAGCATTTGACAAAACAGTAAGAAGAACAAGCCAGTAGCCAATCAGTTCAAAGTGAAACTGTTAACATATAAAGTCACACAATTTTTTTTTTGTATTTCTCTGGTGATCGGATCTGGTCAGTGACTTGCTCCCCTTACCTATATCAGCACTCAAATGTAGGAATGACGACTTCAACTGAACTTTGGTTAATCATCCTGTACATGTCACTACAGGATTTTATTTCAGAAGAGTTCATCAGAGCACTACAGTAAAAAAAACATCTGAGATTGAGTACATATTTTCAAATGTCTCTTGCTTAGTTTTAACACTTCATCAAAACCTTTGTGTTTTTTTTCTTATTTGTTACATGTCAGAGCAGAAAGAGCTTACCTGGCCCATGTTTGTCTAAGGCCATGTTTACCTTCAGAAACTCTTGTTGATGATGTTAAACATAACAGAGTAAGAAAGCCACCAGGGATGTTTGAAACACAACTGGTAGCAGTGTAACACAATTTATTAAGCTGTATTGTTGGTCATGCTTAACAGTATTGTATAGCACCATGAGCCTGTACAGATTTAAATCAAACTCAAGGGTTTCTGAAGGGGAAGAGGGATGGCTCTCCTTTTTAATAGGCTCTCCTGGAACTGGTTGATGAGACTGTGGACTTGGTAACAGTACCACCATAACCGCCACCGTAGCCGCTGCTTCCACCGAAGCCGCTGCCGCCGCCGTAGCTGCTGCTGCCACTGTAGCTGCCACCGCTGTAGCCGAATCCACCGCCGGAGCTGGAGAATCCTGAAGCAAAAAAAATATGTAAGTGTTATTTATCCATCCATCTGTCAGTGAGGTCTGTTGACTCAGGTATCACTTATGATGATGATGTATGAAATATGAAACTTACCACCACCTCCAGAGGACTGCTGCACATGGATGGTGGCGGTTGAACCTCCGCTGGTCAGTCTAATGGTGGAATAGTGACGAGTTAGCGCTTAATTCAGAGTTGAATCTAATGCTGCAGCCATTGAAATACATTACATATTCAAGTTCATCCCACCTGCTCTCCTCTCCTTCCAGCAGTTTCCTGTAGGTGGCAATTTCAATGTCCAGGGCCAGCTTGACGTTCATCAGCTCCTGGTACTCGCGTACCTGGCGGGCCATGTCCTGCTTGGCTCTCTGCAGAGCATCCTCCAAGTCCCTGATGCGGAGCTTGGCATCCTTCACTGCCAGCTCACCACGCTCCTCAGCCTCTGCGATCTGAGCCTCAAGGTTGGCCCTCTGTGAAAAATTATGTTGATGGATTAATAACTGCAAATCCACTGAGATAATCAAGTGTATAAATATTAGGGCATCATTCATGTGAAGGTCTTAAAATGTACCTGTCCCTTGATAGACTCAATCTCATTCTGAAGACGGGAAATCATGCGGTTCAGTTCAGACATCTCAGCCTTGGTTGTGCGCAGGTCGTCACCATACTGTCCAGCAGAGCTCTGCATCTCCTCATACTAGTATGAAAAATAAGTTGCATTAAGAGCATGATCCACACAGTTGGAAGAAGTGTTGAAAAAACTGAATTTTTCATTTCACACACCTTCTGTTTGTACCAGGTCTCTGCTTCAGCCTTGCTGCGGTTGGCAATGTCTTCATACTGAGCACGCACTTCAGCCACAATGGAGTCCATGTCCAGGTGACGGCTGTTGTCCATTTCTACGATGACGGAGGTGTCCTTGATCTGGCCCTGCAGTTCACGGAGCTCCTACAGAACCAATGGTTGTTGCACATCAGTTAACTCTTTGTGCTTTATAGCTGATTTACACGAAGAGTGGATGATAATCAGCTTTAACTGAAATGGTGATTGTAGAATTATGAAGTATTGGACATTATAGATACATACAGCCTCATAGACGGCCCTGAGGAAGTTGATCTCATCCTGAAGAGCATCAGCTTTGGCCTCCAGCTCCACCTTGTTCATGTAGGCACCATCAACATCCTGGAAAGAAAATCAAATAGAAACATGAAGTGTAACAGGTGGCCAGATTGTCTTAAACCCCAGGATTACAGAAAAGAATTTAATGGCCATCTTGATGTTTTCGCACCTTCTTAAGGAGCACAAACTCGTTCTCTGCAACTGAACGTTTGTTGATTTCATCTTCATACCTGTTGGGACAAAAGCCAAAGTTTTTGTACATCTACTCTCTTTTGAACATCTGCTCACTATATCAAGGTATATATTATAACTAGTGACCATGTCATGCAAGCACTCACTTGCACTTGAAGTCTTCAACCAGGCCCTGCATATTCCTCAGCTCTCCCTCCAGCTTGGCCTTCTCGTTGCCCAGCCCGTCGAGCTGTCTGCGCAGGTTGGCAATGTACGCCTCGAACATGCTATCGATGTTGGAGCGGGTGGTGGTCTGGTCCTGCAGGAGGCTCCATTTGGTCTCCAGCATCTTGTTCTGCTGCTCCAGGAAACGAACCTGTGGAGACACAAAACCAAGGAAGATTGTCAGATGTTGTTTCAAAATGTTGAATTGTTTTTGAGCTTTGTATAGATATTTCATTTTTTAAAGTGTAGGATCAGAGCAGTTGGGTCACAAAGGGTGTGCAATTGTGGTCTCACCTTTATCTACTTGACTCCGTTGATAGCTACATATCCGAATTGCCACACCCATTTCACAACAACTGTAACTCATGATGGCATATCTTTGCCTGCTTGTTCAATCTATTTTAATACTAAAAGGTGTAAAAGGGAAACACTTTCTTTCTTCAAACTAAATATAGTATATAGTATGTTCAATCAAGATGCTTCCTATGTGTGTTTCACCTATCATAACTCTTCTTTGCACATGAATCATCCATGCTCTGTTGGGCAATGGAGGCCACACAGTCACTCTTGCCAAAAGAAAAAAAACTAGGCGTGGCAGATAAAGAAGACAAAGCAGAGCAGTGTTATCGAATGAGTGTTTTGTTATGCGAGTTTTTGTCAGAATGCCAACTTATAGTGTTCAGAGAGTCTGACTCTTCATAAAGGACCTCTCCTTATATAGCTTGCACACAAACATTAACACAGTCGTGTGATCGTTGCGTAAAAGACAATTAAATGATGATTTACTGTTGTGCACTAAACATTCTTGTTGCCGATAACAACCAGGTGATAGGCGCACTGTGCAAAGGAAAGACTTTGGACTCTGTGGGCATAGCGTAAATAGATCTCTGCCAGTCTTCCAGTTAAGTCACTGCAATATAATCCCCACCCATGTTTAGATAGTGGGGAGAAAGGCTGCCATTGGCTCAGAAAAGGGCTACAGGCTAACTGTTACCTTAGGTAGATTTTGGATGGAGTTGCCAGTGGGGTCACAATCAGTGACAGATTTTTGTAAACTTCCTAATTCCAGAGGCTGTAACTCACTGAGGGATTCAACATTACACAGACGAGATTCACAGCTGTCTTGCTTTCTCAGATTTGCAAGTAGTGGGCAGATTGTCTTTAACTAAACAGTGCTACAGTTCCATTTTGACAGCTGCTAGCAGTAAGTGGAGCCCAGGGAGGGCATACAGGACGTCAGCACTAAGATAAAGAGGCCTACACTAAATTGTACATAAGACAGTCACACAGAAGTCACAGGAACCAACCTTGTCAATGAAGGAGGCGAAGCGGTTGTTGAGGGTCTTGATCTGCTCCTTCTCCTGGGTACGGACAACCTGGATGGATGGGTCAATATCCAAGTTCATTGGAGTCAGCAAGCTCTGGTTGACTTGGACAGTGGTGATCGGTGGAGGAATGAAGCCGCCTGCTTGGCTCGAAGAAAAGCCATAACCACCACCATAACCACTACCATAACCACCACCACCACCCATTGAAGACATGATGGAACCAGCTCTGGCTCCACCACCACTACTATAACTGGATCTTTGTACGGAGTAGCTGCTAGTTGGTGCAAAGGACCTCCTGGTGCTGCTGCCATAGCCAGAGACTGAGTATGCCTTCTTCATTATGTTTGCAGTGGTTGTCAACTCTCTGAGAAGAGGAAAACAGAAGAGGAGCAGTCTTCAAAAGGAGAGTCAAGTCCCTGTAAGTGTCTGACTGTAGACACTGTCGGCTTTTAT